GGATATATATCCCTGTCTCTCAGGAAGGTTCTGGTAATTAAACAAGGCAATCTGAATGAATGTACTTTGTTGGCCCGTATGGGTTTTAAAGCAAATAAATTGAGCCCAATTACTAAGAGCTTCTACTTGGAGTTAGACTGTCTCAGGTCAAATCCTGTCTCTATCACTTATTTGCTATGGGACCCCAGGACATGACAATGCTCTGCTCTTGTTTTCTTATCTGGAACCTGGGGATAATCACAATACCTACTTCACAGGGTTATTATGGGGGTGACTAGAATATATGTGAACTTTCTGGTACAGTGCCATGTACATAGTAAACGCTCAATAAAAATGTGGTGGGACAGAAGGCAGAGCAGCAACCCCAGCAGAGCAGCATAGTTGTATTTCTAGGAACTAATGTGTCTCCACCAGGGAGCACATGGCCATAGCTGTAATATTGTGGGGTGAGGGGCAGAGAGGGGAGGGAAAAGAGAAATAGAGAAGCCAGGGGAGAAGGAAAGAATGAGAGGCAGAGAGAGAGACCATCACAGACACAGAGAGACTCAAAAAGGCACAGAGACCAACAGAAAGAGACAGTTAAGAAGAGACAGAGACATACCCAGGGAGAGCAGAAAGACAGCGCGAGAAAGAAATAGAGAAATAAATAAAAAGAGTCAGAGAGATACAGAGATGCACAGAGAGAGAGAGAGTTAAACAGAGAGAGATGGGCAGAGACAGAGAGAGACACTCAAAAAGAGAGAGACACAGAGACAGAGAAAGAAGAGCGAGAGTACTGATCTTGAGTCTCCTTTGCCCTGGCCCCCTCCAAGTCCTCCACGTGTGTCCCTGGGAACTCTGCTGTCACTACCTGGATTCAGGAAAAATAAACATCATGATGGTGGAGGATCTATCCTAACAGGTTTGCCCACAGAATGCCAAACAGAGACACTTCAGAGTTCACACACACACACACACACAGAAAAATCAAAGTGAACTGAACTAGGAGCATCTGGTGTGATGCAAGGGGGCTGTATCCTCAGGCCAAGGTCAGAGACTTGGGCTCTTCTCTACCACCTCTTTCAGGATCTTCTCACCAGTGTTAAGTTGAAAGGAATGCTTCCTAACGTCTCTCTAGGCTGTCCCTTACTGAAATTTAAGCCATTTCATTTGGAATGGTAATCAATGGTTGGCCTCCTCCTTAAGATCACTTTTGACGTTAGGAGTAAAGGATCTCCTTTGCTTTCTTTCTTTCTGATAAAATAACCAAGACACCCAGCCCTCTGATTTCTGTTGCTAAATTTCTTATTTTTCCATATTTATAAAATCCACAGTTGAGAGAACTGGTGGCAGGAACATGGATTTGTAAGTCATAGAACTGAATCTGAAAGGCAGCTTTTCTACCTTACTGTGTGACCTTGGGCAGGTGACCACCTTAGGCTGATTCCTCACCTCCCTATGCTACGATAAATACATATTTATCACGTATATGTGTCATATATATGTCATATATATGATAAATATATAGTATGGATAAATTGTTTAGCATAGTGCCTGGCAGCAAGAAAGCACTGTATATATGGAAGCTGGTGATAGTGGTAGCAGAAGTAGCAGCAGTGGCATAAATGCTTTCTTTTTATTTCACATAAAATGGTGTTTATATTTCTAAAAGTAGTAGAAGGTGCAGCATTTAAGTACATGAGTATCTTTTCTGCTTGTTCATAATATATTTGAGGCACCGTTGAAACCTTTTGTGCAGTGCTCTAGCTGGGTTAGTCACTATCCATCACTCAGAGGTACAAAGCATAGCATATGCAAAGGATCTATGTCAATAATGAATGTTGTGTTCCAAGATGGAGCTGGGACTGCTGCATAGGAAGATGTGGCTGGATAGGGCCATAGGACCAGGTCATAAAAGCTCTTGAACGCTAGGCTGAATGGGAGCTTATCTGAGAGCAACAGGAAGCCCCTAGAGATTTATAGGCAAGGGATGAAATAAAACAGAAGAGTGGGACAAACAAGTGACAATAGTGTCATCTGAGTGGAGAGAGAGGAAGTGCTATGTGACAACAACAGTCTGCGGACATCTACCGGGGGCAGAAAGACCCCTGCACCCATCTATGGCATTGAAGTGCAACCACATTGTCACAATGTCCAAACTGGCTAGCTTGACATCCCCTTCATCATCTGGGCCTTCGGCATTTCCGGCCATCTCCTTTTCTTCATAAACCTTCAGATTCAGTGACATGACCTGCTTACCAAATGACTAGCAGGAAGAGTTTGTGTCTCTCTGAATCCTGGTTTCCTTGGCTTCTAGGCCCTGACTCTCTCCTTTTCTTTCCTACCATGCTTGCCTGACAGATCCCCTATACTTAAGGTAAACTTAAGTACTTGCTCGTTCTGTGCACATCTTGCATGTTCCTGCCTCCATTCCTCTGCTTGCCCACTCTTTTTGCCTAAAATGTCCCCCTTTCCTTGCTGTTGCCTTACAGCCCACCTATTCTCAAGTCCCAGCCAAGTTGCCATCTAACCTGCCCTGTGTCCCCTGGCCAAAACAACCGCTTCCTCCTTTGCCTAAAAGTACCAATTTATGCTCCTCATCCATTCTTGTGATGCCTTGAATTATAGCTGTTTGATCTCACTACCAATGTGGGGATTCTGCCAGTTGCAGAGTATGTCTATTGCAATTATGCATTCTGTAACTGGAGAAATAACCACAGGATGGGCTTGGGGATCCACTGGGCCCACTGTGAAATAGTCCTGAGCTAAAACTCCATTGATCACCTGACCTCCATAAGCCCCTACTCTGACTGGCAGACCACGGTGATGTTTTGGGTCTCCTGGCATTCGTGTCACTTCAGAGCCAGTGTCTAGTAATCCTCAAAAGATCTGATCTTTTCCTTTTCCTCAGTGCACAGTTACCCTGGTAAAAAGCCATAGTTCCCTTTGGAGAAGGCTGGAAGAAAGATTAACAGTATAAAGCTTTGACCGCATAGTGAGATCCTTCCTCAAGGGCATCCAGCCTCTCCTGCGTTCGAAGGGTTCTAGGTCTGTAGACTGGCTCAAGTGTGGGAATTGATTGTTCTTGCCATCATAACTTGTTATTGCCTTTTGTTTATGTGCTGATATCATCCTGAGACCCAGCTGTACTACCGGATGGTTTTACCACGTGTCCAATTGCTGTGGATACTTCAGGAAGCTGAGGAACTTGTCTGATGCTGATGTAAGAAATCTGGCCCATGCTTGGACTGGTGTCTCTAAAGCAAGGGGCCACCCAGAGCTCCAGGCCTCATTTGACTCAGAATCAAGGGTTCTTCTTTGGCATTCTGAGAAGTTACCTAGCTGGTGAAATGGAGAAAGGAGGGTATGTGTTCAACTCATTCAATTTTGTAAGCATTGATAGATCCCAGACCCTAGATAGGCTACAAAGACATAAGAATGAACAAGAAACGGCCTCTACCCTCAAGGAGTCCACTCTCAGGAAGAAAGACAGAAATACATAAGTCAAAGGAGGATGAGAAGATGAGGAACTTACCCAAAGAATAATTGAATTGCTGTACAAGACTTACCAGAAAGAGAGCAGTGTGTAGATAGCCCTCTGACAGAAGTGAAACAGTGCAAGCAAGTGGAAGGCTTCGTTGTCTACACAACTGAAAAATGTATCCATTTTATTTTACTGAGGCTTTGAGATACCCACATAGCCAGTCAAAGTAAGTTACCTCAGAGGAGTGTGGGGAGTCAGTACTGTCTCTCTGGATTTGGTTGTTTAATTGAAGTGACTGATGGGGGAGCCACATGGGGCAATGGGGTGTTTCACTCAAATTCAGGCAACCTTCCTGGACCCGGTCCCTGTGGCTCTGGAGGTCATACAGCCTGTGAGCAACAGGTGCCTGAACAGCAGCCCCTGGATCTGCCTCATCTACATAAGATATGCTCCTGCCAGGCGTCATAAGATGTTACCTTCCTTCTGACCCACTCCCCGTCCCCTATCAGCACCTTTCCCCTCCCACTCCACCACCCTGGCCAATGGTAGGACAGCAAACCCAGAGAGATGTGACATCCTCACCCCCCAGGTTTAGATGGCCTGTGGAGTCCAAGGCCACGTCTCTGAGGATGTTCCTTCATCCAGAGACCAATTTAGAACAAGAGTTCTTGAAAATGAAAACCATAATAGTGGGATTAAGAACAACAAAAAAGACATTTACAGAATCATGCTAAGGATGTATCCTAGAGATCAGAGCAAAAAAATTAAGGGAATAAAAGAAGAAAGATAAACCCAAAAGGTGTGTCTGGTAAGTCTAGATATGAGGAACAGTATTTCCAGGGAAAAAAGAGCTGTTACAGCCATATCTCTCACCAGGGGGAAGGAGTTGGGAGCATCGTCCCACAGTTTCCTGGGAAGAGGAAGGGAGGGAAGGGCCCTGCACCTCTGTGAGAGGAGACCCCACAGAGCCTGCCAAGTCCTCCTTGCCTTTGGTGGAGGCCGCCAGGCAACAAAACCAGAGAGATGCCACACGATCCAGAGAAATGCATTCCAAAACATCATACATTTAGGGTGGGCTGGTTAAGGACATCTTTAATTTGACTAATCTCTGAAAGAAATGTAGCTTTTCCTTCTGAATGTAGGCATATGAGAGTCCTGTCACTTTGTCACCAGCAAAAATTTCTAAATCTTATGATATCACACTATGGTAGCTGTAGGTATCTCCACACGATTCTTGGGCTCAATGCCTTTTGGAGCTGGCGGAGTTAGACAAGGCAGAAGAGCCCAGGGTGGGGCAGCTTGGGGCTAGAGAGACCTCGCATAGAGGACCAGTGTTGCCTTTCCTTGGGTAATAGGTCAGCTCATTGATCTGCTAACTGAAGGGTTGGTGGTTCAAGCTCAGCTACAGATACCGGAGTTGACTGATTCCAGGTTCTTTGAAGCTATGTTTGGGCTGCACATTCTCTCTTAACTAGCTTCTCTCTTAACTTTATCCTCAATCTCCTTACTTTAAATCAGATGTGGAAAACTCTTGCCCGAACTGCTAAGGTTTACGTTAGTTAGTAAAAGGGTTTGCAAGAACGAATCTTTTTTTAAGGGTAAAAATAAGTTCTGGAGTTCCAGAGCCTAGGTATATCACAGAGAACATAACCTTTCTTCCTGAGGCTGGGTTTTTACAGCCACTCATTTCCGGAAAGCTGGTATCAATTCCCTTAAGCCAAATCATCAGGAACACACTTTTTGATAGACAAGTTGGGTTTTTTATTCCTTGCAGCCAGAAAGAACACACCCCGTGGTCTGAGTAAGAGAGTGTTAGAAAGAACCTATTCTAGGATTGGGGCTTTGGTTGCGTGATTTGGGGGAGGATGGGAGGAAGCAGAGTTTGTTCTATATTGAATACTGTTAGTCAGCATGGGCAATCCTATGATCGGACTAAAGAAATAACAGTCATTTCCTTATGAAAAGAGGAGGATGTTTGGGATTTGGGAGGTTGCACAGTGACCTTGTTTTTGTCTGTGCTGGACAAAATTATGAGGTAGCCTTGTTTTGTCTCCTTTTGTCAAGGTCTCAGAGTAATCTTGTCTGAGGTTGATATTCTGTATCTGAGATTTATTTCCAGCATGAGAACCAAACAGTCAGGCTGTGAGTGTCATATCAGTTCAGGGCATCAGAGGCCGGTATTTTTCTTTCTCATGGAAATCCCTAAAATAGAGAATCAGAAAAGAGAGCACCATGGTCTCACAAGCTCTACGTGCAAACCTGACTGGGTTGCATTGGGACTTTGCTTAAGTTTCTTGAACTTTCTGTGGCTGAATTTCTCATTTAAAAATGGGTCAAATAGCAGTTCTTCCTTCGTGGGTTGTCCTAGGTTTTAAATGAGATGTGCAGGTAAAGCATTGAGCCCAGTGCCTGGCACAGAGTAAATACTCAGTACATATTGGCTCTTACTGGTCCATCCCCATCTGCATTTTTATTATCTGCTTTGTTTTTTTATATGACTGCAGACCCTTTCTGGGTATGGATGGACAGCTATAAATAAATGTTCTCCAATTGATGGACATGAAATTGGTTCTAGTGTTTATTTTTACAAACAATGCTACAGGGGACACCTATATACCTATAGTTGTATCTATATCTATATCTACATCTGTATCTGTATCTGTATCTATATCTATATCTCTATCTCTCTTCATCACTTATGTAAGTTTTTCTCTCCTATCTATCCCTGTAAAGGGAATTGCTTAGTTTAGAAATATATTTATAGATATGTAATTTTGCTAAATCCTGCCCTATTGCCTTGCAAAGTAGCTTTACCAATTCACATTCCCAATCATTTAAGGGAATATTCTTTTCTCCACCCTCTTGTCAACACTGGATAGCAACTGTTCCTACCATTTATTTTGTCAACAATTAATCCCTTATTGAGAGATTTCCTCAAATGAGTTTACACTCTTTGGTCTAACTTAACTGACATCCTGGAAAAGCTGAAATCAATAGGATTTTTCTCTGTTCTCTTCTATTTTATGACTGCTCTGTTCTCTCAGATAATCTGGGCCAAGAGCCATGCAAACATACCACTCCTGCTTGGTGGATGCTACTGCCTGTTGGGTTTGCACATTGTCCTAGATTTTGAGGCTGAGGGGCTGGTTCATAGGAGAGATATGAGGTTGGGTTCTCCTGACATTCATGGACAGGGAATCCAGGCTGCAGGGAAGGGAACTCACTGACCCTGAGGAGTGAGGTGTCCATGATTGGGCTTGAACAGAATACAAATTGGAAAACAAAGACATTTAAGTTTAATTTCCATTAGAATAGGACTTTAAAATAAGCCCTATTTCTACTCGAAATTAGAGGAATTTGGGGAACTTAATATTGTGGCAGTTCTATTGCCCTCTTTGAATTGGTTCGCCCATGCTGGGTACTGGTACTTGCTATAAAACTTTGTCTAGTGAGTTCAGTAGAACAAGGAGCTAAAAAAAATCTGCCATAGAAAATAGAGATAGATGATGGATTCATAGATACTGTCATGTGGAGTTAATTGTGCCCTCTTTATTCAGAGGTGTCGTTGGTCACGTTAAAGAGACATTCCTCCAGGGCCTGAAATGCCCTTCATGGTCTCCTTCATGATACAAGGGCTAGGGAACAGTCACATGTAGGTAAGTACAGGATTTTTACTGTGGTTCTTTGATTTTTTTGCTTTATAGGGATTAGCATACATGTTTCTGAAAATTAAAAAATCAGGAGTGTAGAGATAAGCATCTGAATTAGTTCCCTGTTACTGCATGATAAAAGATTACCAAAACAGTGGTTTAAAACAACACACATTTGTTATCTCACAGTTTTGTAGATCGGAAGTCTGGAATGACGTGGCTGGGTTCTCTGCTCACAGAATTGGTCTGTACGTTCTCCCTACCTGAAAAGGTCTAATACTGACTCTGTCGGGGTTCTGACCATCTCCCATGAGGGCCTGCCCTTGCGATCTCATGCTCCTCTGGGATCTTCTTTACTGACCTAATTTCTATGAGTCATGATTTCTTTCAGCTCCTCTAGGAGGCTTACGAGAAAGCCTAGAACTGATCTCTGCCATCCCTTTCCCGGAGAGGAGAATGAAATAACAGAGGTCTTCATAAAGAAATGACCCATATGAGGGCTGAAATCCAGTGATTAGAGCAGAAGAGAAAACCTGAACGACAGTGGAGGTGCTGAAAGCCCAGACTGCGGAAGCAGGGGCCTCTTTGTGTCCCACATCAGGTAGGAACCCTTCCTGGAAAAGGGGACATTTCCTGTTGAAAGGCCACCTTGGACAAGGGACTTGTTTTGCTCCAGCTTAGTCATCCATGCTGCCACTAGGGCTTTAGGGGTCTCCATGCTAGGTGGTTTGTTTAATGGTGAGGCCTTTTCCTTGCGTGAGAATCTCCTTGGCATTTTTGTCTGAAATGCAGTTTTGGGGGCCTTATCCCCAGAGGTTTTTAACAAGCACCGTGTTGACTCTGATGTGGGCGTTCTTTAGCTCTGCAGCTGGTGCCCAGGCACTGGAGCCCTGTCTACTGCAGGATATCACATTTAATCATCCGACACCCTAGTGGTCAATGCTGCCTTCTCTCCTTTACATTATACATTCTTCTCTATTATACATGAGAGAAATATGCTCAGAGAAAATAATGAAATCATCCAGGAAAGCATACTTGGTCCATGATGGAGTTGGTTTTTGAACTTTTGACTGCTTTTCCTAAGGCTGTGCTTTTATTGCTTCAGCATAGACCTAGGATAAGATTTGATTGGAGATGTGGTTGGGACTAGAAGACATGAGTAAATGTTAGTTATTCCTGGTAACTCTTATTTATCCACTTGGCAAGTATTTAGTGAATGTTTTATCTGGCAGGCTCTTGTGGGGGCCCTGGGTAGATGGGGTGAACAAGGCAGACAAAGTGCCTGCTCTCAGGAAGATGATCTGACACAGGAGTCAGACGTTTTACAGATGAGCACATAAATATGTTTTAATTGTGGCTATGATAAAGTTTATTTAATACTTATGTGTGCCTTGGTTCCATTGTGTCAGCCAGGATTGAAAACTGACTGAATGTATATAATAAGACTATAGAACTGTGATAAAAGAATTGTCCCAGGAAAAGTCCCTCGGATATTTTTGTTTTAACGGTGGAAATACTGATATTTCATCCAGTGTCCCCTGAAATTTAGATGTGGTTTTCTGGAGGGTGTGGTAGGTGCTTTAGACAGGGAAGCTTGTGGCCAAGGCTTGTGCGGTGGCTCTGCTGCCATCACATGGTGAGGGAGCCTGGGAAAATCTCCTATTCTGCGTGGGCCTCAGTTTCCTCATCAGTAAGATAAGGGTGTTATTCAGATTCTCCAAATTCCCTTCCTGCTCAGTTTTCTCTGAGTGCATGAGGGACTGAGAGGCATGTTAAATGTGCCCTGGGAACTTCAGCCGAGACCTAATCTTGGTCCTTTCTCAGTGTGTCTCCTGCAGGAGACTGAAAACAGAGAACTGAGGGAGCAGGTGGAAGAAAGAAAATCAGCTGGTTTGGATGATAATAATTGAAAGAAGGTCCAGGTGCTAGTGGAGCAGGTGGTTACCAGAGGAGGTGAGAATAAGGACAAAAGTAGAGTTCAGAAAAGTCAAAGGAAACTGAAGAATGTTTACAGCATCACCCAGCTCCTCAAGGAGCAGGCTGAGCTGAGCAGTGAGGACTGGGAGAGTAACTTACTCCACAGTGAACCTGTGCACCTTCCAAGAAGATCCAAGGATGGTTGGTTTCTAATGCTGGGAAGCACCAATTCCAAGAGGAGGAGGATGTGACCATGAGGCTCTGCCCCAGCCCCCCAGCCTTGACCCTGTGGCTGCCCTTGCAGTGGATGCCCTCCTGGTAATTGTGGGCTTAGAGGGATGAGTGATGATTGGAGAAGGTTTGGAGATGTCCATTCTTACCTTAAACAATTGTGCCCTCAAGTCAGGAGGGGCCAGGGTACGGGGACCCTTGCATCTGAAGCAGTGATAGTAATATTCTTCTGCATTTATGGTTGAGAAAGGCTTTAGACACAATATGTCTTAAATATTTGTTGAGGGCTTAATTTTCCTTATGCTGTGTTAAGAACTTGGAGCAGATATCAATAAGATTTCTCTGAGGAAATCAGAGCAGTGAGAGGAAGAATACAGACAGATAATTTCAATACAATCTGGTAGCTCTCCTAATCATGGGTGTTGTGGCAACCCAGAGGATGGGAGGGGAGGCCAAGGACATCTCTTCCTAATGACAGGGTAAACCATTGAGAGGAATCCCTGAGGACAGTCCTGTCATCCTGACAGCTGATTTCAGGAGAGTGTCATTGGGTATAGAGAGTGCAGGGAAGTCTCCTCTCTGAGGATGGGCATCTGCTACATCCTGAGAGAGAGCCAAGCATGTCTGACAGGACATTTGGGACAGGAAAGTAGTGAGGTGATGGAGATTTGCAACCATTCTGATTGGATCAGTGAATCAACGTCGTGAGAGCCTCCTCGGGGCTTGACTTGGTGCTAGGAGCCATGAATATGGAGATGAATAAAATATTCCAACTTTCACAGAGCTCTCAGTCTAGTAACCAGGAAGTCACGAGAAGTGTAGTGGTGGTGGGTCCCACTGGAGGAAGTAATCAGTGCTGCCTGGGGATGACCTCAGTGGTTGTCCTGGTCCCCCTTCAGTTTTTTCCAACAGCTGGATGACCTGTCCTGGCCCAATGACCCTGGACCTCAGCCAGATTTCAGTCTCTCAGGATACAACCGACCTGGGCTCCATGTTGGCTCAAAGCAGTCAACACTACCAAGGTCTCCAGAGAAAACTGCTGATATCAGTAGCTACTATGTCCTCACCAGCTGGAGAAATAAAGAGGCAAGTTTAAAGTCTTCTTTTGTTATTTTTTAATTTATTTTTTCTTTTATTGAGGTAATGTTGGTTTATAACATTCTATAGATTTCAGATATACTTCATTATTATTCGACTTCTGTATACACTACATTGTGTTCACCACCAAAAGTCTAATTTCCATTTTGCCCTCCCTTTCTTCCCCTCTGGTAACCAGTCTTACTGGTTCATCCTAACCTTAATTATAAGTGATGATATCTTCTCTATCATAAGTTAAATGCTTTCTAGTCTTCATGATTCTCTCCCCACATCAAAAATAATTTAAATATCAGCCATATTCCTAGAATTTTGGAACTTGGTAGTTCATCCTCAAATTTTAGATCAAATAACTAAGGTAAAAATGTAGTACAGCAACTTCCAAGTTTGCAGTGAGAAGGAGACTAAAACCTGGCCCTCTGATGTTCAAGTGGTTGATAAATCCAATGACTTTTGTTCCCTTAGGAACAGAATAAACTAAAACTCCCTGTTTCCCTCCTCTACTTATCCTATCAAGTTCTATAAAATATAACATCTCTACTCATCTAGATAACATGGATTCTAAATTAGTTGAGCTCCATGAATGCATTTACTGAACCCCTGTGGGTGAAGCATTGTGCTGATTACACTGGAGGATACATTCCTTACTGAAGAGAGCTGAAAGATGTCTGTCCCCAGTTCAGCCTTGGTTCTCTGTAGGTGACAACATCAGTAGCAGACACAATAGTTTCATCCTGGGGAAAGGGAAGATGATGAGGAGGAGTGATGAGAGCACCTGGCTTTCTACCTCCTGAGGAGTCAAGTCAAAAAGCATCTGTAGCATCTACTCCAGAGAGTGTCCTGGCTGCCAGCTGTCATAGTTGAGTGTCCCAAAGTCTTGGCATGGGCCTCCTTCCTGTGTTTCATTTCACAGATCCTATTTAGATAGTAGCCATATCAAGAGAAAAAAACAGACAGAAGGACTCGAAAAGACTGAATAATGTGTGGTTGGGCAATGAATCTCAAAAACCTTCAAGACTCCACTCAGAAAGTGACATTTTCAAGAATACAATGGATGGGTGGGATGTGGTGTCATGTAGTGAGAGAAGATTTATTATATTTAGCAGCACCTGATGACTTGTGAAGACAACACATTCCCCAAGTGACCCAAATGATGGCCCTACATACCAAATAACAGAGAGAGCCACTCACTTCCATTGATCTTACAGAAACAGGAGGTTCTTCATGCTCTTAAATAAGCTGGAAAACATGGTCCTGCCTCTGGGGCCATGGAACAAAAGAG